CACGTTTTTACGATAACGAGAACAAAAGTGTAACTTGTGTCCGAATGACGGAGAATCGGCGACGCGGGCAAACGGTTCGTGAAGGATTGAATCTGGTAACGTCGGCTGCGAATGCAGCAATGTCTCTCTAATTGACGCTTAGATTGTCGACTAAAATGGACAATTTGGGAAGAGGAGATACGATTATCCGAGCCTTGCTATTTATTTTTGTAGTTATTGGATTGTCCGGAAAGTTCGTGCCGATTTTCGGTAGGTAGCGTGAGAGACCTGACTGAATATATCACAATTATTGAAAACAAATGACATGTGTACGTATTCTGAAAGAGATAACTTCAGCCATATTTGGAAAAAAGTTTCGTTACGATTCGTTAATTTCTATCAGTTTTGTACGCCTTAGAATATGGTGGCAAATGAAGTGCATTATAGGCATTTAATGCTTTTCTTTTTCCGAAAGGGCAAAAATGCCACACAAGCGGCAAATAAGATATGCGCTGTTTATGGCGAGGATGCTGTAGCCGAAAGAACTGTGCGGAAGTGGTTTGCTCGGTTTAAAACTGGAAATTTCGACCTTGAAGATCAAGAACGACAAATTTTTTCTCGAAAAACCTGAGAGGTTGTGGAAGGACGGAATTCTCAAGCTGCATGAAAGATGGAGAAAGGTTGTGGAACAGAATGGTACCTATATAATTTAATCAATGTATACCAATATTTAAATGAGCCGCGTTTTAATTTTCCTAAAAAATCGGCACGAACTTTTCGGACAACCCAATATATAGCGAGTCATGTAGCCGCAAGGCTCGAACAATCGTATCTCCTCTTCCGAAATTATCCATTTCAGTGGACGATCCGAGCGTCAGTAAGGGAGAGATTACTGTATGTAGAATTAATCGCTATTCTTGTCAATGAATCCGTGTGTCCTGTCAAACGGGCCGGTCGAACCGAATCTCGACGAGTGCCGTGAAGTTCTAAAGGGGCTGTTGTAGCGAACGGCGGCGGACGATTAAAGTTTCGAAGCGAAGAGATCACGAGGACACGCTGTTCGAGGGGGACGACGGACATGGTTCGCTCCGAAAAGCAGGGCTCGAAATCGAGGATCGCCGATTAAAAATCGCTAATTTTCTCGCGACTAATGTCTCCCTAACTGACGCTCAGATTGTACACGAGAATGGACAATTTCGGAAGCAAAAGCTACGATTATTTACGCTTCGTCGACGATTATAAAAACGAGCGCAAGACTCGAATTATCGTGCCTTCTCTCCCCAAATTCTCCATTTTCGTTCCCAAGCTGAGCGTCGATTGAGCCGTTTATTTTGAAAGTGGCATAAGTCACTTTACCGTAACGAAAAGTGGTGATTTTTTAATGTTTATACGAAATTATTTATACTGATAAAAATATCAGTATCCTGAGAGATAACAAATACAAGTAAATCTTCTCGAGAGTTAACATCCATATTTTTAAACGTGTTAACCTTTTAGGCACGACGCGCCACTATAGTGGCTTTCGCGGATGTCATCTCTCTGGACGACGCGTCACTATAGTGGCTTGCTCTGGTAGCTCACTCGCTCATCGTTTGAACCAAATAATCGTCTTCATATGCACTGTTTCACGCTTCTTTTGTCATCGCATCGATTTACAATATACAGACTTATCTTAACAATATAACTGTATCTTAACAATATACAGACAGAATATACAGACACAGACCAGAGAAATAGCCTCGCGCAGAATTCAGCCGTACCTAAAAGGTTAAAACGCAAACCCTTAAATATATCGACTCAAAAGCAAAGTGACTTGTGGCTCTTTCAAAATATGAACGGCTCGATTAGGGAGAACTCACCGCATCGAGGAATTCGAACAACGTTCGACGAATCCGACGTGGGCGAACGACGCGTCCTCCGTCGCCCGTGGATTCAACGGGGGATGGTCTCTCTATACGATTGACGAGAATAGCTCGAGTTGCTCGTTACGCGACGCATAAATCACAGCCGGCAGGCTTAAAATGAATTATTTTGTTCGTCGCCGAAACGCGGCGAAGGGAATCCCCTTGGAATGGAAGTCTGGCTTAAGAACACTTTACAGGGGGGTTTCGGTGGCTGACAGTCACCGTATGTCACCCGAAACGATTCGATCCCGTTGCGCTCGGCGAGGACTCGATGACCGATGAATCGATCAATTGTGACGTATCCCTGATGTTCGATCGGTAATCGGGACGACCGCTGTCCGATGATCTCTTCTTTGGCAAAGCCCGCGTCTTTCTCTCTGTCGCGGCGCGTGTTTACGCGATCCGCGCGAACTCGCGTTTGCGAATGGACATCAAACGCGACGGGCTGCGGTCTTGCTCGAATCTCCGGTATACTTTGATCGCGCGTTTTGCGTTCGATTCGGCTGGCAACGCGACCAGGATCTAGAACGATCGTCCGTAAATACTCGGACAGCGCTGTCGTGCGTTCGGTTCGAAGCAGGGATTTGCGCGGCGACCGTTCAGCGGGGAACACCTTGGGGCCGAGGTGATCCCGTAGGATCGCTCAGATCTCTAGAAATGATTAAAACCGTCGAGCGAGACGAGGCATTGTTGGCGGATTCGGCGGTGATACGTCGCAATGAGTTAGAAATCCAAGAAATCGCCGCACGGTCTTCTTCACGCTCGCTGACGAGTGACTACATACTCCTACCGATTGCATACTTCCGCTACAGGTTACATTGAACCAAGTATATTATTCTTCGGTCTGTTCCATTACGACCAACGTCCGCTCCCGTTCGGATCCGACAGCGATCGCGGGCAATGCTCAATGCTCGATTTTCGACGTCCCTTAACTCGAGGCTCGGTTACGAGCCGTCAACCTCTCGGTCCTACGGTGTTAAAGTACGGTCGAAGCAAGTTCCGGACAGGGTTCGCGGAAAAATTCGCTGGACATGGACGCGTTGGTCGGAGATTGACCGAGGGGTCGGCCGATCCGCGGTCGACTTGGGACGTAAACGCGACGTTGCTCGCGATCGGCGAAGGGAGCTGAAACACGCGCGCGAACCATCCGCGGCGTTCGAAAGAGGAACGCGCGCGGAGGACTGGAAGGAAAGGGGCAGATGAGAGAGAGAGAGAAGAAGACGGGCAGGACGGTACGAGTACGAGTACGAGTACGAGTGCGAGTGCGAGTGCGAGTACGAGTGCGAGGACGAGGACGAGGACTCGGGCGCGAGCGAGCTCGAAAGAGAAGGAGAGCGGGCGCGAACAACGGCGGCCACCACCACCGGAATCGACGCGGCTCGACGCGGCTCGACGCGGCGTGACCTCCTCTCGTCGTCGTCATCGGTGGATCGGAGTTTTGGGAGGCCGATCGGTGGGCCTCCTCTCCGATCTGCCGCGGGAGAATTCTCTTCTTCGCGGTGAAGGAAGCGAGAGGCCGATCGCGAGAGGGAGAAAGAAGGAGAGGCGGTATGAGGCGGTCTCGGGGGGCGGCGCCTGTCGGCGCGTCCGATCGGAAGGTGAGCCTCCCGATTGGCCGATGCGACAGCGGAGCGAGGGGAACGCGAGGACGCGCGAGCTACGTACGCTTCCTCCACCCGCGACCGTTCGTTCTCTTTGCGATCCCCCCTCTCGCTCGCTCGCTCGCGCTCGTCTCTCTCGTCTCTCCCTCCTCGTCCCACCGGCCGGCTCTACGAGTCGCCTGTCTCTTTCGCACCGGCGCCGGCCCGCTGGCCTCCCTCTCGTTCGCGCTCGCGGCCCGCCTTGGCCGATCTCTTTCTCCCGGCGGCGCGGAGCGGAGCGCTCCTCTCGCTCGCACCAAAACACCCCCGCCCGCTCCCGTTGCGCCACCGCTCCGCTCCGCACCGTTCCGCGCCGCGCCGCGCCGCACCGCTCCGAAGCCCGACGCTCTGCCACCGCTGCTGCAAACACACGGTATATCGGCGCACGACCGCCTCACGGCCTCTCTACTGCTGCCGCTCGAGCGAACCGTCGCCGCGCCGCGGCGAGCCTCTCAGTTGCGACGCGCTCGTCACGGGGTGCAGATCGTGCGTCGTTGCTCGCCCCATCGGTCTGTCGAACGCGCGCGTCCACACGCGCCACCGAAACCGCGCGTGAACCTGCTCGAGCGAATCCTGCGCACACACGTAAACATACACACACACAAACACGAACCCCCGACGACCGCGAATGTTATTCCGTCGAGAGAGCTGGCACGCGAGCTCCGGTGCCCCCCTGGTGCTGCCGATCGGTGGTTAGAGTGATTTCGCGTCGATGGTGATTTTTTGACAAGGTGTCGCCGATGCCATCGCAATCATCTGCCTGTCGACAACGCCGCAACCGCAATCGCAATCGCAATCGCAGTCGCAGTCGCAACTACGTTCTCCTTTCGACGATTCGAGGAGCACAGCGCGTGGCACCTGTCCATCACCTGGAATAGGCACCGGGAAACGTGTGGTTCGGGGTCCTGGGACACCGAGAAAAAGAGAAAGAGAGCGAGAGAGAGAGAAAGTGCGAGCGAGAGCGAAGGAGAGACGAGTCTGATTCGGCGTTTGGTGGCGCGCGCGGGAACATCCGCCACCCCGTCCTTTTTCAAAAGTCGCGCGCGCGCGCCGCGGCTACGGTTTATCCTCGGTCCGTGAACACTGTCGTCGTCGAAAAAACGATGCGTTCGATGAGTTACGTTGTTTCGCGTGGACACTAACGATTCGATATAGAACGTGACTAGACTCTTTTCGCGGGAGGGAGAGAGAGAGAGAGAGAGAGAGCGAGCGCGCGAGAGAAAGCGAGATATAGAGAAGGAGAGGCAGAGATTGGCGAGAGAAACAGTGAGCGAAAAGTAATCGAGCGAGGCACGATATCGGGGAGGCTGCTCCAAAAATAAAAGGATGTTCGACCGCGGCATCCTCGGGAGAAGAATCCCCGAGGTCGCGCACGTCTGACGGATCGTCGCGCGTTGCCACGAGGAGGCGCGTGGAGAAACGCGTGGTTCGCGCGTATTTCGAAGTTCGCGCGTGCCTGTGTACGTATGTGTTCCAGATGCGGCCTGGCTATTGATACGTTCGCGATCGGTCGCTGAAACCTCGAGGCGTCGACGGGCCGAGACGTGCTCCCTTCGAGATACCAAGGGTCGGCCACGGATCCAGGTGTGAACGAGGCGCGAGCCGTTACGGAGGTGGTGGAGGTGGTGCTGGCGGAGCAAGAAGAGAAGCGAGACCGCGCGGAGGTGGTGGAGACGGCGGTGAAGGAGGAACCGGTAGAGGCGGAGGACGAAGAGGACGAGGCGAAAGGAAAGAAGAGGAAGGAGGAGGAGGAGGAGGAGAAGAAGCTGGACGAACTGGAGGCGGAGAGGAACGGATCCGGAACCGGATACTGGAACGCGGTGAACGAAAGGGGGAGCGGGAACGGAAGAGGAGGCGGGAAAGTATCCGATAGAGGAGCGAAATCTCTCGAAAACATGACGCAACAGAGCGGAGCTGGGTCGCCCCAGCAATTTTGCCTGAGGTGGAACAACTATCAGACGAACCTGACGAACGTGTTCGATCAGCTACTGCAGAGCGAGAGCTTCGTGGACGTGACCCTAGCCTGCGACGGGCACAGCGTGAAGGCGCACAAAATGGTGCTGTCCGCGTGCAGCCCGTACTTCCAGGCCCTGTTCTTCGACAATCCCTGCCAGCATCCGATCGTGATCATGAAGGACATCAAGTGGCCGGAGCTGAAGGCCGCCGTCGAGTTCATGTACAAGGGCGAGATCAACGTGTCGCAGGAGCAAATCGGCCCGTTGCTGAAGGTCGCGGAGAGCCTGAAGATCCGCGGGCTCGCGGACGTGAACAGCGAGCAGGAGCTGACCTCCCGGCCCAGCATGGAGGAGGCAGCGAACGCGGCCGCCGCCGCGATGCACAGGAGGAAGCGGCGCCGAATATCGGGCGAGAGATCGCCACCGGGCAGCAGCCCCGATCGGATCGCGTCCGGAGGCCTGCCGGACGACCAGGACCCGAACTCGGCCGGAGGCGTGATCGTGCCCGACATTCACGGCATGCTGACCAGCAGCTCGACCCCGAGATCCCTCGGATCCCCCGGCACTCCCAACGTCTCCGTCACCCCGCAGATCAACCTCCAGGAACTTCCGGTATCGCTGCCGCTGCCGCCACCCCCGCCGCCGCCCCCGCAGGGCCAGCAGGGCTCGCACTCCGTGTCCGCTCACCATGTGCCCGGCCACGTGACTTCCGGTACCCACGCCTCCGTCAACCACCTGACCAGTCACGGCCAACAGCTCACCGTCCAGCAACAACAGCAACAGCAACAACAGCAGCAACAGCAACAGCATCACCAGCAGGGTGTCCCCGGACAGCCGAACCCCGGAGACGATCTGGAAATCAAGCCCGGCATCGCCGAGATGATTCGCGAGGAGGAAAGGGTGAGTTTCTTTTTCTTTTCTTTTCTTTTTTTCGGACGTGTTCTTTCCGAACATTTTTCCGTTCGGCCGAGATAGACGGCCGGGAGAGAACCCGAGCGAAGTCCATCGAGCGTAAACTCCGCGACGGAAACCGCCCGCGCGCGCGAGCGAGCGCGTTCCACCGTCCTCGATCAAAGACGGGGTCGTTCGACGGAACGGCGGAGTTTCCGGTACTCTGGAAAGTTAACGCGCGACGCAGGAAACGCACGGAAAACGAGCAAAGAAGCGCGAGGGGGCGGAGCGCGCGGGGGGTGTGTGTGTGCGGCGGCTTGTGGGTGGCTGGCGGTGGTCGGCAGCCGGCAAAGGCGGGAGAGAAGGCGACGCGGTCATAATTGGAGGCTCGGTTTTCGGGGTAAACTCGGCTCTGTGCCTCGCAAGAGCACGCGAGAAATCATAGGGTGGCTGTCGCACAGGCTCGCACCGGCACCGCGACGCGACGCGCCGCGTCGCGGCCCCAATTACCGCGAGAAACGAAATGTTTTTACCCGAAAGGACGTTCAACGGAAAGACCGTACGGAACGAGCCCGTCCCGCCTTTGCCGGAGAGGTCCAATTACCCGGCGATCGGCTTCGACGGTGTGCACTAATTGAGAGTATCAATGAACGTCAATGAGCATAGTCAATATTTGGACGCGGAGCATCCGACCGTTTTGTAACGTTCTTTTTGTTAAAACGAATGACAAATATTGACTACGCGCTCGTTCGCGCATACGTGACACACACCGGGTATCGGCTGTTCTCGTTAATTACATCGGGACGACGGTGTCTCCTGCATTATTTATCGTCCGCCACCGGCGCAAGTTATTAAACGAACAGCTACCGTGTGCGCGCCTCGCCTCGCCGCGCCTCGCCTCGCTTCGCATCGTTTCGCAATCCGCTCGTGTCTGCCCTTCGACGGGCTCGCTGAATTCCTCCGGTTCGATTCTGGATTCGGAGCCCGCGCGCCACCGCCGCCGCCGCACCGCCGCCGCCGCGGTTATCCCTTTGCCCGAGATTTTCCGCGCGAGAAAAACCCGTTCGGGTTCCCGTTCTAAAAACGTTTCCTTCCTTCTTCCACTCGGGGCGCGCCAGGGAACAAACGAGGGGAAGGGGAGAGAAAACGATCGAGGCCGTTCGAGGAATCTGTACGCGTCGCGTAATCTAATTTGTCCGCGGCGAAACGGCCGAGATCGATCGTAGATCGGCAAATACCGCGGCGGCGGCGGCGGTGGTGGTATCTTTGTTTCTCGAGCAATCTAGAAAATTGAAGCGAGTCGCTCGTCGGAGGCCGAGCATTATTTTTCTATCGCGGCTATATATCGGTCCGATGACGCAATCGGCTATGTATAATGGGTATAACATTCCGCGGAATTCCATTATGTTAACGCAACCACGTTCCAATTCTCCGGGCATGCCTGCTCGTATCGTAATACGCTAGTATATCGCAACTATTCCGCGGTAGTGGCGCGCGAAGCCTTTCCGATTAAAATGCCTAATTGATGCGGGCGAACGTAATACGAGGTATACGCGCCGCGGGAGAGTCTGATATTTCGGCTAGAGCGGCGGCGAACAAACGGCGCGCACCGCGAAAACCCGTCCGAAAGTTCGTCCCGGGGTTGCCGCCGATAAATTCGCGCGTCGAAGCGCTGTAAAACCAACATGCCCTTTCCCCGCCTGACGCTCTGTAACCTGCCCATCTACCGACCGCACACACACCAACGGCCAACGACGACGACGACGACGACGACGACGACGACTATAGTAGGCGACTCTCTCTCCGCGACAGCGAGAACGGCGTTGCGAAAAATGCTTGTCGGCGAGACGCGCGCGCCACTCGAGGATGGATTATTAAAGATTTAACCGCCGCAAAGGATCGCTAGTACCCGCGGCAGGCGGATTTCCTTCGGATTAAGAGCTTTAATGAAACGGGATTTAAATATAAATTGTCTTTTAACTCTTCGATCGTTCGGCGATACCGCCGCGATCGCGGCGGGATCTCGCGCGCGCGATCTCGTCGCGATCGTCCCGCAAATTGCTGGCCACCTTCTTCTTTTTTTCTGTCTTTCTTTTTTGCTTTCGATCGTCCGTCGCCGTGGCCGCGGTGACCCGAAGACTCTCCGAAACGGGGGGGAGAAAACGAAAAGATCGAGGAGAAAGGGGGCGGGACACGGGGCCGCCGGGTTTCGCAAAAATGTACACAATGTACAACGCGAGAAGCAGCAAAGCGCGATCACGCGGTCGGTTGAGCCCGAAAGGACGGGTCGAAAAAAAATTTAATCTTCCCTCGCATTATCCTTTTTGGCAATAACGGCTTTACCTACCGGATCCTCCTACTCTATGCAACCGTGACTCTCTCGCTCTCTCTCTCTCTCGATCTCTCTCCGGGATCTCTCTATCCGTTCCCCTACGGTCGCGCGGCTCCAGGCCGCTGGTTCGAGAGAGTCGAGCGGTGTCCCCTGTCGCGTCGAGAGACGCGCGGGACGGACAGCGGCGAGGGGAACGAGAAGAGGAACGGTAGCAGCAGCAGGAGGAGGAGGAGGTGGAGGAGGAGGAGGAGGAGGTGGAGCGCAAGGGGAGAGAGATCGGAGAAAAAAGTCGCAAAACGGTAAATCGTGATTCGTAGTAACCGAGCGAGCGCCATTCATCCTGATACACAGCGGATGCGACTACGTATTTCCTTCGTTCCGTTTAAATTAGTGTTTTTGCCGTACGGTCTTGATTGTGTTTTCGCGCGTCCGAGCTTCGCTACGGAGCGCGCGGGCGCGGCGGGCGTACGCGACGCTCGCTCGTTCGCTCGCTCGCTCGGGCGCCCGCACGCACGCGTATCGATTCCGCGTTGATGAACGCGTAACGGACCACCTAAGCGATATATCAGGAGCGTCGTTTCGACGGGCAGGGCTCGTCGCGATACCAGCCGCGGCAAAATTGAAAAGCTTGATGTATTAAAATGCGTGACGGCGAACCCTCCTTCGAAGCATCGCGCCGCGCCGCGCCGTGTCGGAGTAAAAAAGCCACCGCGACGCCCCGCGCCGTCTATGCGCGAGTCGATTACGCCACCCGTCAAACGGTGATCGAGAGTTTTCGTCTATCGCCGCAACGATCTTAAGTCTCGTCCGCTCTCTCTCTCTCTCTCTTTCTCTCTCTCTCTCTCTTTCCCGTCCCAGCGAATTTTTCCCCGCGCAATTCGGCTGCCGATATACGCGAGGACCCCATGCCCCCCTCCCCCCTCCTCTACCGCGACGTTCCGCAATCGCGTGCCCTCCGACGAAGCCAGCGCGCGCGACAGTGTCAACTCGCGTCGGACGACCTTTTATTTGCGCGCAGTCTGCGGCTCCCGATAACGATCGCTGGTTCGTTCCGAAGCCGTCTGCTTTTCAGCAATTAGGCCTATCGAGAAAGGCGACAAAAGCTTCCGCAAAGTTAAGGCGTTTGTTTGCGTTGCACCGAGCCCGCGCCGGGAATCCGCGTTACCGTGAACAGGCTCTAATCGTTGAAACCGCGCTGCATAATTTCGTCGACCAAGTTCGAAGCCAGCCGGTTCATTTGAATTCCGTAAACCGGGTGGAAAAGGTAGCCTTCCGTCTCTGGTCCGCTCTTGGACTCGTACGTGCCCAAAGGGTTCACGGAGCCGAATCGTTTCTTCAGGTTTCGACAAAGATTTTCATCGAATACAGTAATGTCTCTCTAATTGACGCTCGGTTTGTCCACAAAGATGGACAATTTGGGGAAAGGAGATACGATTGTTCGAGCCTTTCGGTTCGTTTTTATAGTTACGAATTGTCGACAGCTATAAAAACGAGCTGCAAGGCTCGAATAATCGTATCTCCTCTTCCCAAATTGTTCATTTTTGTGCACGATCTTAGCGTCGGTTAGGGAGACATTACTATTCCGTGGCAACCCCTCGACTTTCATCATTTCCTAAGGAGTTGTTCACAACAGGACAGTTTCATATTACAGCGACTTGATTTGGGCATGTCGCCGTAACAATATTTTCTTTGTATAAAGTTTCTTTTGTTTTTCTTCTCTTGTGCCAAAGCGTTCCATCCGGGAACAAATGAACGAATGAATGAATTTAATAGGGAGACAATAGGAAATGCAGTAATTTCTCCCTAATTCGCGCTCAGATTGCGCGCAAAAATGCGATAAATAGACAATTTGGGAAGAGGAGATACGATTATTCGAGCCTCGTGTCTCGTTTTTACAGTCGTTGACAATCGGTAACTATAAGAACGAGTCGCAAGGCTCGAATAATCGTATCTCCTCTTCCCAAATTGTCTATTTATCGCATTTTTGCGCGCAATCTGAGCGCGAATTAGGGAGAAATTACTGTAGTCTGTTTGAGATCCGATCATACGTCCCGCAAAAGTTGCACATTGCGTTATAAAGCGAAGAAGATGTTGCAAATGCAACGATTGAACATTGTTCTACGAGACCATCGTCAATGTTCGGGGACAACGGACGGTCTCCTCAACGCCTGCAAACGCGTGATTCTGTTACTACCGATTGTATATTTCCGCTGCGGGTAAACCAAGTTCTTCTTCTTCTCATATTCGAGTAAAATCTTACTCGGATTGAGATTCTTATCTAGATAAATTTTTATTCGATCGGATATATTCGTTCGATAATTTCGAATAAAATTTTATTCGTTGTCATCTCTTAACCGAACAAAATTTTGGCCAACTCTGGTACAAACCCAATCAGAAATCCGACAGAAAGCCTTGCTATCTCGGAGAAGCAAACTGCGGTAAATTCTCCTTAATTGACGCTCAGCTTGGAAACAAAAATGAACATTTGGGGAAGAAAAGGTACGATTAAAAGAGCCTCGCGGCTCGTTTTTATAGTTGCTGACAATCGGTCGAATTATAAGAACGAGCCGCAAGGCTCGTATAATCGTATCTCGTCTTTCCAAATTGTCCATTTTTGTTTCCAGGCTGAGCGTCAATTAGGGAGAATTTACTGTATTTCATTACGATCGAAATGAGC